CAGTACATGATAGTTTAAGTAGCGAACGCATACCAACAAATAACGATTAGTATCTATAACAAAAATATTGTTCTATGGAGTTGATTTAACTTCCAACCATGTATTTTTAAATAATCTTTAACGTTTTCTGGCTAGTTATGTTAGATTTGATTAAAAATACGCATTCTACTTGTTAATATCGTTAGATTTGATTAAAAATACGCATTCTACTTGTTAACATCATAAATTAAATTTGCGATAATTTGAGCAGAGAAGTTCGACGACTGGATCACTGTGTACAGAAGGTTGATATGCCAGCAAACACTTTCCAGAGAGCAATATATCTTGGATAAGTCGCTCCACGATATTGTTGCTTGGACCATCGACTTCCTTTGATATTACATATTTACATCTTATTTTGTTATGAAATGATATTTTTTCAGAGTAAAATTATGTTTTCTCATTTTCTGCATCCAGCATCCACATTATAGTGAGTAAATATACCATATTACTTCATTGCTTACGTAATGCTAGGAAGGTTTGAGTAGCTTTGGGTTTTTAGTGGACAGAATCTCCAATAGATGGGGCGAGAGTCGCCCCATCTCTCTCGACCGGGTGGGACTCGAAACTTAAATTAAAATTGCTATATCATTGGTCTCCAACATGATATATTTCCTTTGATGCACTCACAATAACGATTATAGCTCTGTCTTTCTGGAGGCATGTAATATTTTAGGCTTTATTAGCGTATCTTTGTTAATTACACAACATATTGGCAAGTACCTAATAAATTCCCTGTAACCTACCTTACCCCTCTGTTGTCAACACATGTATGTTTTTTGTTTTTTTTTGTTGTTTTGTTTTTCAAATCAACGCTGTTTGAAGTAATTTTCTGTAATAATTTGTAATTGTATTTGGTCTGCTTTTTCAACAATGTTCCCCCTCTTTTACCTCTATTTTTATTTGTACTCAACACATTTTATTCTTTTTACCCATTAGTTTTAAGCTTTAGTCATTAATGTTTTTCCTGCCCGAAACGCTTTGCGTAATAGTGGCTTTAGGCATTGTATGTACTAGCTCTATCTATAAAGCCAACAAACTTTGTAAAATCTCTTTATGTATGTACCTTACCTAAATAAAAATTATTATTATTATTATTATTATTATTATTATTATTATTATTATTATTATTATTATTATTATTATAAGTGCGTAGGCGTCTGCACTCCATGACCGAAAAGCTACTGAACGCCACTATAAAAACATATATATCTTCACTTGAGCTTTAAATATGTCTAATGTAATGTATTTAAAATAAAGCTTATATTTCTATCTTTCTTAAGACGTGTAAAACATTTGTGTTTATTAACGAATTTACGTAAAATAAGCATTCTTCTGAGAGAGTTGCTCTGTCGCTCAGTCTATGCGGGGGTCGGAGCTCGGCTATTATAAAAGTACACGTATCTTCGCTTTAAATTTAAATATGCCCATGGTAAGGTATTTAGAACGAAGCTTATATATCTGTCTTTCTTGTGACATATAAAACTCTTACGTTTATTAAGGAATCTGCGTGAAATAGGCATGGTTCTGAGATGAATGCTGCGGTTTTCGAGTTTCACGAGCGATGAAAACTGCCACTTTTATACAACTACAAATATCTTCGGTTTTACTTAAAATATTTGTCTGGTAGAGGTTTTACATATAGATCGCGTTTCTGTCTTTCTTCTGACTAATAAATAATTTTGGTTTAATCAGTTAAAGATGTTTAAACAATATTCTTTCAGCGTTCGTCTTTTCCAACTTGGGCGACCCTTTTGGAAGCGCGATACTTGGGTTAACCCATCCTATAATTGGGTCTGTTTCCAACTGGGGTTCTAATAGTACACGCCAGCCTCAAGACTGAGAGGGTGTCAGCCCGCACCTTCACGACGCCTGCTGCTGCTGCTGGCCTCTGGTGACCACCATCTGCACTACAGGGCTCCACCTAATTTCCAGTGAACCATTTGTTTTGAATGAACTTTAGCATACAACATTAATTACCCTTAATATTCCAGCTACTTATCACCATAATGAAGTTAGTTCATTTATTATGCACCCGATACCTATCCTGTAGGGGGCAGTGTTAAGTGTTAAACAACCACACTAATGACACTTGACATCATATTCACTAACCATTAAAGACCTTTTTTTTTTTTTGAGATATATACAAGAGTTGTTACATTCTTGTACAGCCACTAGTACGCGTAGCGTTTCGGGCAAGTCCTTAATCCTATGGTCCCTGGAATACGATCCCCTGCCGCGAAGAATCGTTTTTTCATCCAAGTACACATTTTACTGTTGCGTTAAACAGAGGCTACAGTTAAGGAATTGCGCCCAGTAAATCCTCCCCGGCCAGGATACGAACCCATGACATAGCACTCGCGGAACGCCAGGCGAGTGTCTTACCACTACACCACGGAGACTTCTGTAATTATATTAATGTGTGTTCCCCCATGTTTCCAGGAATCATATAGGAAGGCCAAAAGTAACCCGGGAGTTTCTCCTGAGGTCAGATTTTGTCTTGCTAGGAGCAAACTGTCCACCACAAGGTCAGACGAAGCATAGATATAAGCTCATCAAGAACGTAGCACCATCTTGTGGACCATAAACTGCGAGCCACCATTAATAGTTGATACTGGAGATCTGGGGATGGGACTGGCTGTACCAGTTATGGAGCTGCTGGGTTAGTGTACACCTCTTGGTCTTCCGTGTTTTTCCTTGCATGAGATTGTTGTTATAGATTCAGCTACTCGGAACAAGTTTCAAGTAGCATGGGCTATGGTGAGCCCGTAACTTACCTGGCACAGGAGCAGTGCTGTGTGTCTTGCCTGATTGATTGATTGATGAAGATTAAGCCACCCAAAAGGTGGCACGGGCATGAATAGCCCGTAAGTGGTGGCCCTTTTGAGCCATTACCAGTATCAAGAGCTGATACTGGAGATCTGTGGAGGTGCGACTGCACCCTGCGTGACGGGAGATGTCTCCTATGGTCTTGCCTGAGACTTGCTGCGAGTTGATGAGTTGATATGGACGTGCTGACATCGGAGTTTGGTGAGGTGGCCTCCATGAGTGCTTGTATGGAGTAGGTGTCGTATTTTTAGTGCGGTGGTGGAGCTCCTACTAAGATTTCCTCGTCTGAGGAGTTCGTAACATTCGTAGTTGGTGGTTTTGTCTTTCGTCTCGCAGCCTGAGGTGATCTCAGGTGTCGTGGATTAATGGTAGAAGCTATTTCAAGATCGTTGGTGGTGCTTTTAGTATTTGAAGACAGCACGTCTGACTGTAGGAGTGTTGGGAGCTGGAGAGGGAAATACCTCTGTTTGTGCTGCCCGGATCTTGGGTGGTTCTGGAGTCTGTTGAGATTGACCTCGTGATCGTCCTGGTGGTAGTGGAGGCAATGAGACTTGCGTCCGGGGCGATAATGGGTTCTAGGCTGTTAGCTGGATACATCGCGTTGAGTTCCTTGACGAATCATTGATTGTCTGATCCGCCAAGCCTTTCTGCTAGTTGAATAAGACCAGGGATAATGCCTGCAAGGGACTGTGAGGGTGCTGGTTGGTCATGAGGTCCTCGGTGTGGAGGCAGAATGATCTGTTTGGAGGAGCCACTGTTTGGTAGGGCTGGTACGGTTGTAGTCTGGGTGGTCGGCGGCATGGTGGTCTTCACTTTAATCTTCTTTAGTTCCTCCTTCCTTTTTGTGCAGAGGTTAGAGGTGGCGGCGTGCTGTTCTCCCAGTTCGCGCATTTCTTGGTGGTTGCGGTACAATCCTTGTAGTTGTGAGTGCCGGAGCATGAGCTGTACTTATCCGTTTGTTCTGGCCACTTGTCCACTCATATTGCCTTGTCAATGGCTGCTGCAATTTCGCGCTCAGAGCGCTTGTAGACTCCAAGGAGTCGCACTTTCACTTTGTCATGTTCTCTGGCAATGGCTCGGATTGTCAGGAGAACCTGGAGTGGAGAGTGGTAGTACTCGTAGTGGTTGGCAGTTTTCATAGTGGTAGTACTTGTAGTGGTGGACAGTTTTCATAGTGGTAGTACTTGTAGTGGTAGGCAGTTTTCATAGTGGTAGTACTTGTAGTGGTGGACAGTTTTCATAGTGGTAGTACTTGTAGTGGTGGACAGTTTTCATAGTGGTAGTACTTGTAGTGGTGGACAGTTTTCATAGTGGTAGTACTTGTAGTGGTAGGCAGTTTTCATAGTGGTAGTACTTGTAGTGGTGGACAGTTTTCATAGTGGTAGTACTTGTAGTGGTAGGCAGTTTTCATAGTGGTAGTACTTGTAGTGGTGGACAGTTTTCATAGTGGTAGTACTTGTAGTGGTGGACAGTTTTCATAGTGGTAGTACTTGTAGTGGTGGACAGTTTTCATAGTGGTAGTACTTGTAGTGGTAGGCAGTTTTCATAGTGGTAGTACTTGTAGTGGTAGGCAGTTTTCATAGTGGTAGTACTTGTAGTGGAGGGTAGCTCTTATAGTGGTAGTACTCATAGTGGCAGTGAGTGGTTGTAGTACTTACAGCGGCGGTGCTTGTTGTGGTAGTTAGTACTCATAGTTACAGAGTGCTTGTTTACCTGATTGGTTGATACCTGGTTGATGGGATTCTGGAAGTTCTTCTACTCCCCAAGCCCGGCCCGAGGATTGACTTGTGGGAGTTTGGTCCACCAGGCTGTTGCTTGGAGCGGCCCGCAGGGCCACATACCCACCACAGCCCGATTGGTCCGGCACTCCTTGGAGGAATAAATCTAGTTTCCTCTTGAAAATGTCCACGGTTGTTCCGGCAATGTTCTTGTAATGGTAGTTTGTTCTTGTAGTAGTAGTATTTATAGTATTTATAGTGGTAGGTAGTACCTGAAGCAGCAGTGAAAGCTTGCAGTTGATGGTAGTATTCGTAGTGGCAGCGAGCGATAGCACATCACAAATCTCCTGGCCGAGCAATGGCTCTATTGATGACATTTTTCATGGTCAAACAACTGGATATTTAGAGACTATATTCAACCTTTCTCTATATTTGTTTTAAAATACAGCATACACAGACACACAGGGGAATCTTCAGTAACAAATCAATGATCTTGAGTAACTTCAAATAACCCTTAAAATAACAAATTCACTCTTATGTTCCAGCACTGTAACCAAAAAGAGGGAGTCTTAGAAAACAAAGACAGGGAGAGAGGGGGGGGTTGCTACTAAGGAATTTCTCTAAATAGTGTTCACAAATGCTAGGTTTCCTAAGGTTGACTGGTAAGGCTGATGTGTATCTTCTATTACTCTACAATACAGGGCAAATTATTGTTGAAAACTTTGTACACATGTGATAGCAAGTCATGCCTAAAATTAACTTGTGTTATATTTACCTTTTAATGCTAAATAAAATCTGAAGTAAAAAAAACTTCAACTCGGATATCACGACTATATACAGTACCGAGTCTAACGTCACACTTGCACTTAGCAGAGTGTCTGTGGTAAATTCAGTGATGATAGTCATCATAAAACAAAGATCAGGCAGTGAATGTATTTTAAGAGTTATTTACTTTTACTAAGGATGAGTATAAATAAATAATAAACTGCCTCCAAGTACTATCACTGATACCTAACTTAAAAAACAAGAAAAAAAGCTGAAGGAAGCAACATTGCCGAGAACTCACGTGTAAGACAAATGAATCCCTTAAGAATCAATGCATCATTTACAATCGAGCAAAAAAATCTGACATTTTAATTATCTGGTGAAAATTCTTTATGGAAAAAGTGATTCAGGTCCGGGTAAATCCACAGTGGTTGTGACTCAACAAGAAATTTACTGCACATCCACTCTGGTTGAACCAAACCTCAGAGAGCCACAAGATACACAAAAATATGTAGAATATTAACAAAAGCTGCAGTACTCCCAACAACAGCCAAATAAATAAAATATAATTTACAACAATTAAATTATAATATTTATTTCAATAACAATGACTATGCAGAGGTATAAATAATATATATAATGAATTTATTTGAAGAGAAAGACATTGTCATGTATAATTAGTTCGTTTTCTTGTTTATAAGGTTGTAACAACCTTTCCTGCTGAGAGAGGAGGAGAGGAGAGGGAGAGGCCGTACTCCTCACTAAGAATGGCTTTTTGGGGGGCAAATATACCAATACTGTACTTTAAATCCTAAACATGTGCAAACTGGCAGTCAATACGTTACAAAAGTCTGGTGAGATCACTCATCAAAAACCTCCTTGGAGTTCCCTCCTCACAAGAACTTGCAACAGTGTTTACCATCCCATGTCTAAGAGTGATTCTTCCTGCTCACTTTAAATTTAAAAGCTATAATTCTTTTAATAATTTCTGGATTAACAATTTTCCTATCTGGAACCAATAAAAATCATAGTGTTTTGTTCATAATTACAAACATTTTAATTGTTGAGCTCCTGGGGAGTGACAAAGATGAACTACACATTTAAATCTGTATACCTATGCTCAACTATTGGAGCTTCCAGAATCACAGTATTTACATTAAGTCCCAATACCTACCCTGCCAGCTGCTGATACCTGCATTACCAGGTCCAAATAGCTCTTATACCTGACTTAACAGGTCATGGATGGTCTGAATGACTAGATCTTTGATATCTAGGGAGCAGCTGCAGTATATTTAGTCAAAGCAGTTGCAAAAATAAGGATAAATGGAATACATTTATGGAAAGGTATGCCACTTAGGACATAAGTCACATAAACAACTAATTGGAGGTGAGGCTTCCTCGCATTAGCTTCATCATCTACTGTTGAGTCTAAACCCCTGTCAGGGTGATTACAACTGCTTGGCAGACACAGTTCAGTTATCTGTTCATCACACACTAGGACAACCATTGCACTCTGTACAACCTGCTCATCTCACCTTAGTCGCAATGTGTGTCTTGGCTGAGAAACACACTTTTGACTGTACGACTCATGAAGGCAAATACGAGATAGTTTGGATGCCGTAATTGACAACCATATATTTAGCAAATAATGAGCTACGAGGAAACCAATAATGACAACCACAGCTCACAAGCATTTATATCTGCATTGATTCTGACACCTTAAAAAATATACTCTGGGAAAATTTATTAAAAACTGAAGAATAAAATGAATGTAAATAATTTGTCAGTATTTATACTCTTTTTCTCAAAATAGAAAAGTGCTAAATCATACAATCATTAGGAAGTGATGATGAATATCAATGATTCATGACTTTATCAAGGCGACTAGACTTTATACAAAATTGAACACAGCCAATATGCTAATACATGCTTCAGTTATTTAACATACTAAGAACTCACCTACAAATTCTTTCTTTTTTCTCCAAAGACGGTAAAGATGACGGTATGTTTTCCTTAAGTACAGTTCCAAAACTCAGTTATCATGTTGAGAGTAAGTTCAGTACCAGAGTTGACATATATATACACCAAACTTTAGTCCAGTATATTACACTAAATCATAATTATTCACAGTAGGTGATTTAATTGACATGTAATTCATCAATATTGTGAGAGTTGTACCAATAAGTTACTAAATGTAAACAAATAACAGCAGTACAAAACCTCAAAGTCCTGTAAAGACTATTTCAAAGTACTAAAATAATGGTTTATACAGCTGGTATAATAACAATGGATAGCTTTCAGTTTAGTTGTTAAGTCTCAGTTTAGAGTTCGTGTGTTAAGTTATCAACACACACATCTTTATTTAACATGAAAATATGATGTATAATTAACATGTACGGTAACACCATGTTCTTAGGTATTAACTACGTGAGCTTTTCAACATGCTCTCTGCAAGAACTATAAAACTTACAACATTAAATACATTATTGATTGACCATGGCAACATAATTACCTAGGTAATTACCATTACGAGACAACAAAGGCCGGCTTTCACCACAAGTCAATTACCTCTGTGATCATGTTTTTGTCCATCTTTTCTTCAATTAGACGACTCTGCGTATCCACTACGATGTTCAGTAGAGACCTAGACCTTGTGACCAGCTCTGAAGCTGTGGGATATAAAGAATTATATTAGCCTCATATCAAGAATATCAAAGAGCGAGATCCTATAATAAAACTGTAATGTGCGTACTGTATTTACTATACATTAACTATAATAACACATGCTTCATATTACAAGAAAGTTACCAGAGCACAAATCAAAATGTCAACATAGTTGGTCAGAGAAAAATGATTCTAAATTTGTCTTGTTACTAGTTATTATTTATGACACTGTTCCTTTGGACAATTTCCTTTCTTGCAGACGGGAGGGTCACGGGAGGTGTCGTGTGATACATAATATTTAAATTACTGTCCCGTACTTTCAAGAATTCACAATATTTGACGAGGAAGAGTACATGTTAGTTGGGTAATGCTTACACTGATTAATAAGTGTCAGGAGAGAGTGGGAGACGTTTCCACAAACTCATACAAGTGAGAAGGCAAACACATAACTAGAAAATGTGCAAATGAAGAAAAAAGGGAAATGATGGTTATTGTTATGCTGATGATGTGAAGCTTTATGATTTGTAGGTTTGTCTTTTCTTTGGCATGCTTTCAGGTGTCTCCAGGGAGTGTTTCCCAATTTCTCGATCTTGAGAGTTTGTTGGTGTATGTTTTGGGTTAGTGTGGTTTCATCTCCCCATATCCACCAGTTCGTATCTTCTTGTGTTTTCTTGTGGCCAGTCTTGCCGTGCTTTCTGCCTTCTCTCTGTGCTCTCATCCAGTGGTTTTTACAGGGCTTTGTCTGTTCTGGACAGTCAGCAGCTGGACTTTCCTTGCATGTTTGGGCCTCTCTTCTAGACGTCATATCAAGAGCTTTCATTCATTGATGTTCACCACCTTTATGATGGACAATGGCATACATCCAAATTCCTCTCTGGAGGCAGCATTTGAGGCTGCAGTTGGCTGATGCTTGGCATGCCTTTATCTTGTTTGGACATTCCTCGCATTTCGTCACTGTCATCTTCTGTTGTGCAATTCTTTCGGGGGGAGGGCGGGGGGGGGGGCGAGTCTTTGTGGTGCATTTGTCATTATCTTATGCAGCCAATTCTCTTTTGGTCAGTGCCCTATTTTTTTGTCATGGTATCTTTCATCCTACTCATCCTAGCTTTCTTTTCACCAGCCGATTTCTGCTTCCTGTATGGAGCTGAAACAGCTCCTACAACTAAACGGTTAAGGTAGATCCTTTTTTTGGCAATTTCCTCTTGAGATTTTTAGGGTTTGGATTATTGGAGGCTCCCATCTTCCTCCTTTGAGGTGTTTACTGACATTTCAGTAGGGGTTAGAACTTTGTCTCTAAGTCTCCACCATGTCAGCAGGGGGCTTTGGTCTCCAAACTTGTTGCATGTTCACTTCAACATTCAGGAAATGGCAGTAGTCAAACTGTGCTCAAGCACATACCTCTACCTCTCCTGAGAAGCTTAGCCATTCATTTAAAATCTAACAGTCCATTGTTAATGTATTCTCTTTTCTGGGGTGATTTTTACCATCATTGTAGAGTTAGACGATAGTTTTAGGCTCTTTTTTTTAGTTTGGGATTTAGCACTCTGAGCAGTCACATCCGAGTATCAAATATGTTGCCGAATAGTTTCCCAGTTTCGTTCAAGCTGGATGAAGTTGGAGGAAAATGTGACCGTTTTCCTGTGAGTATGCAACACATTCAGCATTCCCCAGGTGGATCTCTCTGAATCTGCATGAAGATAATTGTGTACATGGCATTGTTCATCATCCAACATCTTTGTCTCACTTCTCGTTACCAGAATGAGGTTGCCTTGTAATGGTTAATTGCTCTACACCAGTCCTCCTCCATGATGTTTCTTCTTACTTTGTAATTCCTCGTTTAGCTGTTCTTGGGTTGGAAGCTTTTGCCTAACTCTCTTGCATCCACTCATACTTTTCTGGTGAAGCTTCTTCAGGTCGGTTCTGCCTAGCTCTCCTCAGTCCTCCTTTTCTTTAGCACACTATGAAGTCTCTTGAGATATCCGGGACAAGTGATCCAAGCATCAGGATGAACCTTGCCCATCTATATGCTGCATATAGGGAAGAGTGAACCCTTATCTGTGTACACAAATACTCAACTTAGTATACCTCACTGCATAAAAACAAAATTTCAAAGAAATAAAAACTAAATAAAACAAGAAAATCAAAAGCAGACATGAACAGAAGCCCACACATGCATCCCACAGTATACATATCACTCCCACAGTATACATATCACCACCACCGTGTATACACTGCCCAATAAGAAACGCGGCTGCAAAACACCCATAAAGTAAAGTGACTAACTCATTGAGCCTCACTGCAATAAAAAATATTTCTAAGAAATCAAACTCAAAATAATCAACCAAATCAAAATAGAAAATCTGTGTGTTTCCTTGAGTATTAAGCACCACTACAGTGAACACAACCCAGCCGGGACCCTGGCCACCACCACGGTGAACACAAGCCAGCCGGGACCCCGGCCACTACCACGGTGAACACAACCCAGCCGGGACCCCGGCCACTACCACGGTGAACACAACCCAGCCGGGACCCCGGCCACTACCACGGTGAACACAACCCAGCCGGGACCCCGGCCACCACCACGGTGAACACAACCCAGCCAGGACCCCGGCCACCACCACGGTGAACACAACCCAGCCGGGACCCCGGCCACTACCACGGTGAACACAAGCCAGCCGGGACCCTGGCCACCACCATGATGAACACAACCCAGCCGGGACCCCGGCCACCACCACGATGAACACAACCCAGCTGGGACCCTGGCCACTACCACGGTGAACACAACCCAGCTGGAACCCCGGCCACCACCACGATGAACACAACCCAGCCGGGACCCCGGCTACCACCACGATGAACACAACCCAGCTGGGACCCTGGCCACTACCACGGTGAACACAACCCAGCTGGAACCCCGGCCACCACCACGATGAACACAACCCAGCTGGGACCCCGGCCACCACCACGATGAACACAACCCAGCTGGGACCCCGGCCACCACCACGATGAACACAACCCAGCTGGGACCCCAGCCACCATCACGGTGAACACAACCCCAGCCAACATCACGGTGAACACAACCCCAGCCAACATCACGGTGAACACAACCCCAGCCAACATCACGGTGAACACAACCCCAGCCAACATCACGGTGAACACAACCCCAGCCAACATCACGGTGAATACAACCCCAGCCAACATCACGGTGAACACAACCCCAGCCAACATCACGGTGAACACAACCCCAGCCAACATCACGGTGAACACAACCCCAGCCACCACCACAGTGAACACAACCCCAGCCACCAAACACCCACAAGTTAGGTCTCCCACCTGCAACGAGCCGCCTTTCCGTTGTCCCACTTGAAAACGTATCATTAGTGTGAAGTACCATGCTAACAATTCTCATTTGTACCGGAGGAAAAATGTTATGGAAACATAATTAGCAAGTTAAAGATTGCATCACAATATAGTTAATAAAGCAAGCTTTTATGTTTCAAAATCAAATTAGTCACACTGAAAACTAATTAATGTGATAAATTGAGCCTCCCCATGGAAGAAAACCTTTTTGGCACCAGAAGTGCTCTCACATGACTATAACAACAGGTAAAAATCTATAATAATAAACTCCAACAACACACGAAGTACATTTATGCAGTTTTAATAAAATTCACAAAAACTATTATAGGAAAAATAAAAATGCTGGCACTATATTAATTGTACACACACATTATTTTTTAAATCACACAATCTTATTAAACATTACAATAGGAAATAAATACATGCCACTGATCAGATCAAACCAGACCCAAGACTGTGATAAATGGCTTGTGTGCGCGCCTGCGGGCCTCAGTCATCACAGGGTCTTGGATGGGTCTGATCTTTCTTCCTCTAAAAGTGTGGGATGGAGAGTGGGATGCTCTGTCTCCAGCTGCTCCTGATGGTAACCCAGGTCAGATATCTTCGTACATACAGGTCAGATATCTTCGTACATACAGGTCAGATATCTTCTTACATACAGGTCAGATATCTTCTTACATACAGGTCAGATATCTTCTTACATACAGGTCAGATATCTTCTTACATACAGGTCAGATATCTTCTTACATACAGGTCAGATATCTTCTTACATACAGGTCAGATATCTTCTTACATACAGGTCAGATATCTTCTTACATACAGGTCAGATATCTTCTTACATACAGGTCAGATATCTTCTTACATACAGGTCAGATATCTTCTTACATACAGGTCAGATATCTTCTTACATACAGGTCAGATATCTTCTTACATACAGGTCAGATATCTTCTTACATACAGGTCAGATATCTTCTTACATACAGGTCAGATATCTTCTTACATACAGGTCAGATATCTTCTTACATACAGGTCAGATATCTTCTTACATACAGGTCAGATATCTTCTTACATACAGGTCAGATATCTTCTTACATACAGGTCAGATATCTTCTTACATACAGGTCAGATATCTTCTTACATACAGGTCAGATATCTTCTTACATACAGGTCAGATATCTTCTTACATACAGGTCAGATATCTTCTTACATACAGGTCAGATATCTTCGTACATACAGGTCAGATATCTTCGTACATACAGGTCAGATATCTTCTTACATACAGGTCAGATATCTTCTTACATACAGGTCAGATATCTTCTTACATACAGGTCAGATATCTTCTTACATACAGGTCAGATATCTTCTTACATACAGGTCAGATATCTTCGTACATACAGGTCAGATATCTTCTTACATACAGGTCAGATATCTTCTTACATACAGGTCAGATATCTTCGTACATACACTTTTAACACTTGTTATTCTTATTCACATACACCATTAACTCTTCTTCACATCTTGGTATGCTTTTCATCAAGTATTTTTATACTTCTACATGATATATATAATTTTATCTATTACTCAAGTTCCGTTTTTATATAAATATAGTAGACATGGAGTGTAATTTGGTTTGTATACATCAAATCACCATGAAACGGCAGTAAATAAAATGCTTCAATACTGGAATCTTCACGGAAAAGTTACTATTCTCACAGAACATATTGCTGTCTAGACATCCATCAGAACTCACTCTTGCTTCGTGCACATTTCTTCAAAATCTGTCACTTGTCACTAACCTGACACTGCTATGACAAAGTCCTTGACTACCTCGTCTCTCGCCCAAAACTCCTATGATAACGTTTTCAGCTAACAATTGAGTTACAACCCAAAACCAAGTCACACAATCAACATTTTCCCTTCCTTCCACTTTACACAATAATGCAATTAATTCACTTCATCAACTCATGATATAGCATATTCTTCATATCTCCAAATAAAATCAGCAACTTTCAACTTTTAGAATTAGTACAGATCTTCATTTAATGTGCCATTTATCTGCCTTACATAACACACAAAATTGGTTTTAAAAATGTTGAACTCTTAAAATTTATTTATCCTGGATCTTCTACATTTACTAAAATTTGTATTCAATTTTATAAATATTGTTAACCAAAATGCCAATAATATTAGATTAAGCTAACTTCCCCCAAACCTTTAAATTGCTTAGAATATTGAATTCTTTTACCACAAAATAATCATGGAGGCCTTATTTAGACCATAACCTTTGCCTTGCATGATTACGGACAGTCTTGTGCTAATATTTAATTGTATTTTTTAATGATATATATAAAAAGTGGGTATTTTTCTTACTCAAACTAATATAAAGTGAAAAACAAAATATTAGCCTCATTTCAACCCTCAGCAGGAACAAAACTCAAGATGGGTACTATACTGAAAAGATTAAAGAACATTATTTTTGCTTTTGTATTTGCATTAATAAAATTATTAACAAACAAATGGAATAGGCATGCGAGTGCCTATAAGCATTTGGATGTTACCAAGTTACTGCTGGAATGTTGTCTGAAGTGATCCACAAGGAGGAAAAGCCCGCAGCCTAAGAAAATCAACTTGCCGATTAATTTTACTCTCTTCCTCCTCGGCACCATCACTCTCTCCCACCCAATTTCTTTTATTTACTCTCCACCTAGCACTTCTCTGCATACTCACCACGTTCTGACGTTGTTCTTCGTGCTCCAGGATTTCTTGTTGTTGCTGACTGTCAAACTTCACTACAGCACACAGCACTTTGCTTAATGTCTGTGGGCAAATGATTCAAATATGAATTTTGTGTAAAGTGCATAATTATCTACAAGTAAACCCGTCTTCAAATATTAGAAACTTCAAGAAAATATTTGCTTAAATATTTGTAAGTATAAATATAACTCACTTGTGTTTCTTTGCCTAACATATACTGGTACAGAATGTTTTTCAGATATTCAAACTCTGCAGCTTCTTCTAATGACACTCCCAACCTCATACTGCTGCCGCCACCACCACCGCCTCTGGATCTCCGTTTAAGTTCCAGCAGTGCTTTCAGTTCCCCGATCTCCTTCCTGAAATATTTCAAAATTTCACTAACACATGGAAAAGAACTCTAAACAATTACTTTCCTTTGAACGTATATCAACAGCAAATTCTAAACATTATTATAAATATTTTACCACATGCTACAATGAAAAGATTAATTCTTTACAATTTCTGTAAGCTTCATACTACCCTAAGCCAATTCATGATTCCTTTCCTTTAAACACTAAATTAGAATGTGTCATCATGCCAGAGGATCTCGACTCACAACTAACAAAAACTCCATCAACCCCACACAACAAAAGACACTACCAGTACATATCTATATCAAATTCATTTATGCTGCTCAAACCTTATTCCAAACAAATAAACTGCTTATTCTACTGTCTTAAAAAAAATTACCGATAAATTTATAGCTTCTTAAGCATTCAAAAGATATGAATGACTCCTTAATATCAACCAACAATTATGGCCAATTTAAACAACAATGCTAGCTCAAGATGAATTCCCTTTCAAACATACTAGTATACAGCTGCATATACTGAATTTATTCATTATAAAATACAGTTCTGCTATCTCAGCAAGATGGCTTCAGAGAGCCACTGAAGCCTTACCCAGAAACAAGTGTTTCATTAGATTCAACACTGAATTTTCAACTTTCTGAAACCAGACAGTTAATGAAGTTTCTAATAATGGCTTTCTTACCTGCCTTATGCCAATGTCCAATTGCAAACATGTACCATGAATTATTAATTGAAAGAATACAGGAATGAGAAGAATGAGATAATAAAACAAACACAATTATGGTATTCTACTGTGTATCAGCACACTAAAAAGAGAATCAAATCTAGTGAACCACATTACACTACAATAATACTGTAATAGTACTGTAGCTCTGCCTCTACCACAAATATGGTGCATCAATGGCAGTAGCCTCTTAAGAATACCATTCCTTTCTAATCTTGTAAGCTGCTGTTTCACCGCCACTCACCCATGGTTTATCTTAACCTCCTCCAGCTCCCTTCGTTGAGCTGCTACTTGTTTCTTTAGAAGTTCCACCGATTCGGTGCCACTTCGGAAAGCTGCGGCAGCTACTTGAGTTAGCCGTTCTAGTTCCTGCCGGCCATAATGAACATCATAAACAAGATGTATATTGTATAATAAATACATACATACAATAAGTAAGTGCAGTATTGTATATTGTTGACAAAATTAAATACAAAATTGGTAAACTTCTATTGAAAAGCAATAAGTAAACATTACATGAACATCATAAACAAGATGTATATTGTATAATAAATACATACATACAATAAGTAAGTACAGTATTGTATATTGTTGACAAAATTAAATACAAAATTGGTAAACTTCTATTGAAAAGCAATAAGTAAACATTATGTGTGAATACAAACATATGTATGCTGTAACTAGTATCTTACAGGGGCTTCTATATGCTTAGTTTTTGTATTTAGTAACATAGCTTGATGGAATGAACATAAGCTGAAAGCCCCGAGGCCATGGTATTTGTGCATAATCATATCTTCACTTATCTCATTCTCTTCATTCTCTCATGAAACATTACACTTATGAGGCACCTTTAAATTCCCTTTACAAGATGGTAGCTACCTTCCTAATTTTACACTAACCCTATTAAGCCAATATATCTGCAAGTTCATCACTCAATGTTTTCTACTGATATAAATCATTCTATGCATAATCTCTCCCTCCCTAATGAAAGAGGAGCATCAGATGTTGAGCATTCCTAGATGATGGAGCCAGAGTGCACGGGGTCATTGTATGAAACTGTGGTTCGGCTTCAGCTGAAGCCTCGGGAATCCTAGAGGGTGCAGTAGTACCCCAGGGTTGCAATCCGTTTCCATGGTGTGGCCTAGTTGTCTAGGGCGTGTGCCTGGGAACACCCTGCGCATAGGTTCAAACCCTCATCACAGCTCCTACGGATGTTCTCACTGATGCATCACGATAGTGTGATTAGTATGGCATGAGTGTTGATGAAAGTACACAGAAGAAGACATGATCAGTCACACACAAAACTTGACCCTTTTGAAAGTACAGTACCTTAATGAACTGGATATAAATGTATTTTTTTCAAACAATGCACATATTTTATTAAATACATACAATCATCATTAAATATAGCATCAATGACAAGTAGTTGCAGATCAGTTTATGTTTACATTAAGGGAGCATGACTAAGTCTCAACTTTATCATAACAAGGTCAATGTTTAGCCTTGAAGTGCCCACGCTTACTATCAATCGCAGATTAATTATCCACTAAAGAGAAAACCCACAATGTTGCTCATGAAGCAAAAGCAAACATGAAGACAGACTAAACTCAGTATACATAAGACAACAACAACACAGAGAAGGGACATACCTCAGGGTTCTCGGCTGTCTCACTCGCAGGACTCTAGAAGATCAAAAATCAAAATTTGGGTAAGGAAACACAAGAGATATGAACCACATATATACTGCTTGCTATCATAAAATCTCATGCATTGAGAACCTGTTATACTCCACTTCAAACTTGTCATACTGATTTTCATACATAAAATATCAATTAACTTTAATTAGAAACATGCTGTGGCACCAATACTTGAGGAAGCTGTACTGGTGATAACTGCGGTGGGACTGGTGATAACAGAGTGGGGGTTCTACTGATAACTGTGGCAGCAACAACAGTAAGATGAAAGTTATAATGAAGGCAAGGAGCTCTAAACCAATATGGAATGATAAAATTCCTGGTCTGGAAACTGAACATATTGATGAGCGTTATATTAGTGCACCAAGCGCGTATAACAGGTTCACCGGGAGAAGGGCGCTGGCTACAGCACCACCACTTGACAAACATGCATTTTCATTCTAAACAATATGGCAAGACATGCTGGGCATGCAAACACTGGCTTTATTAAAACTAATTCATAATAAATTGTCATCCACACTTCCGTGGATGACAATTCATAATTCATAATAATCTTAATTGATACCTAAAAGTATTTAAAAATGCATTGAATAAAACTGAAATTCCAAGCAGTTGGCAGAGTCTAAATGGTTGAACTTGTTTGTGCTATTTTGATTTACATTAGTGGTATTGAAAATTTACATTTAAAAATATTTTAGTAAGTGTAGTAATGCAGAATATTTTTGTATTTGTTTAACAGTGTTGTTGTGTTTTTAATGGCTGCATACTGTATACGCTGTCATTAATTATTGTTTTCTTCTCTGATGAGGAATTGAGCAGCCCTTAAACTCTACAAGTACTTCTCCTGCTTCCTGTGTGTGATACAAGCATTGTTGTTGGTAACATAGCAGGTTTCTTATATTAAATCCTTGCATGAAAGTTTTTGTCTGTTAAACCTACATGTATTGAACTGTTATGGTATTACAAGGTATAGTGTAAACAATACTCCTGCATAAGTGGTAAGATTTGATAAAGCTCTTACAAGCCAATTGTCATTTCAATAGCGTCTTCTCTCAACATTGTATTTCTCAACATCAGTTCATACAATGTGTGTTGTTTTTGCCTAGGAGTTCATGTTCCATGCAGTCTACTAGTTTTATTGGTAATAATTACCCATATAAATAAGAAATAAAACACTACAAGTTGAACAAATAACTGATAAACTACTCTGTTATGTAAAACCAAAGTACTCAGGCAGTAAATCCACTCACAAAACAAAAACATTGTAAAACTTAAAATCCTAAACAAATAGCACACTATATTAACATACCCTGCGCTCCTTGTTCCACTCCTGCGTGAGTGAATCCTTCTCCTCCAGTAATTGTAACTCCCGCTGTCGTACCATTTTCTCAGCTCGGGATTTCCAGGTGGCCTCAATTTCCTTGATGTGGCTTTCGTGCTGGGCAGTGAGAGAGGCCAGTTGTTCCTCGTACTGTTGGACAAACTTGCATAGTTCCTCATCCTTTTCCTTAAGTTGTCAGATGAGAGGGACACCAGGAAAGTGCAGGTTTGGGTCGAGAAGTGTTACAGGCAGTGATGTTGTTGAAAGTTAGAAGTAACGCATAAGCAGAAGGGCAGTGATGCAGTACGAGGTAGTTCAATGCATTGAATGTCATATCACATTTTCCACATCATGTAAAGTAGCATGCATTATCATGACGTTTTATGTTTATGTGGCACCCACCCCAAAACATCAATATGGCAGCGAGATTCACAGATTGTATACAATACAGTTGCCTCCACATAAATATTTCATAGTATTAAGTAACAAATGCAACGAAAAGAACTCTCACAGATAGCATGGATAACAAGCAATATCAATTGCAATTAATTAACCAGAAAGTTGTATCCACAAGGTATATACAGGAAACCCAAGAATGATTGCCAGTTGCAGTTAACATTATTTTAGATCAAATCATAAATGTTCAGCGTTGTACATTTATATCGGTTCACATTTTTTAACAAGGTGACGATCAATTCAGTTCCAATAATGGGTTTGAATGCAAGACACACAATTCAATCCAGTTGAAGAAGTCATTCCAGGGAGCAATCCATGTAGGGAGAAAGGAAGGGCATGGATTTAGATAAGGTTCAGGTTGTAAATGCAACTATAAAATGTAATTTTGAAGAGAGCATGAATATATAATATTTATATCGAGGATCTTTTTAGGACTCGTGGTAAACAAAGACTTGATTACAATATGGAAATCTACTGATAGTCATGTACCAAGCCATATATGTGTGGGCATATGTACTTACCAAACTGTTTGCAGGGATTGGGCACAAGCTCCTGAGTATCTCACTTTTTAGTCATAATTGACTCTTGTGATGTTTACTCAACCCCCCCCCCCTTGCTTTACTTTACTGTACACTATTTACATTTGAATTTATGCATGGAGATAGCTTCGGCTATTTCTTCAGCAAGGCAACAAGCTCGTACATGTCAATGTTTGCAGATGATATAAAGCTAATGGGGAAATTCAAAACTGACGACTTTTGGGTGGACAAAGAATTCAGTTCCATCAAAAATGGTAGTAATAAAAAAAATAAAAATAATAAAAAAAGAGAAGAAAACAGAGAAAAGATGTGAGAGGGAATCTACACCACATGGGGATGACAACTACAAGAATTTGAAAAAGAAAAAAAAAACTTTGAGTGAATATAAATTCAACCTTTTCACCACAGGCACACATACACAGGATAGCATCAGCAGCGTATGGGAAACTACTAGTGAACAGTCTCCATATTCTTCCCAGTAGCTTAGTGTCATCCACAACCATGTTCATATAACTCTGTATCGCGTGCTCACCTAAATATAATCATCTAGATCTACCTAAAGGATTGAGCATCCACTCTTAAACCTTACATTTTAACCATGAGTAATTCAATGCCATCACAATTTTTTCACACATTTTCTTTTCAGATTTACATTTAAAACTGTAAATTAAATTAGCTTTGACAATTTCCTTGTCTAATCAATTTCATTTATTTATGATTTTGAAATTGAAGAAGTTCCTTCTGATATCTCTGTGACTTAGTTGTATCTTCAGTTTCCAATTATATTCCCCCCTCCCCCTCATTCCTCTGATCCCTAGCCTGAACATTGCTACTGTATCTACTTGGTCCATGCTATTAGACGCTTGTATGTCATTATCATGTATGCACTTTTTCTATTTACTATTTCCTCCAGTGAAATCCATTTCCCTCAGACATTCTTCATAACTCATTTCCCTTAGCTCAGGAAAGAGCTGTGTTACATATCTTTGTGTATTGACTGCAAACACTGATAAGAATGAGCTTGTTTCCTCTGTGAAGTCATTTATGAATACAGTATTGTATTAAGAACAGGATGGGGCCTAGTAATGACCCTTAAGATACTCTTATCACTTCCTCTCTCCATTCAATAAGGCATTGAACATAAATTTGTGTACCTTGAGCTTGCTCTGGTGGTCTTGCACAACTGTATTAAGGGCAGCAGCTTTGTCCCGCGCATCTTCTTGAGCTTCACGCAGGATATCACGATGCTGCCGTACCAAAGCACTTGTTTCGTTGTCCTGCTGATCTGAGGATATATAAAGGTTAGCTATAATTGACTTCAAATAAGTGTTATTTAATTTGTACAAAATAAAAATCTTGTGAGGAATGACAAAATAAATTCTGGCTCCTAGGTGATCCATGACCCAGTCATGTTATTTCTTTACCACAATAAAGGTCGGGTAATAACATCTCATTCAAGTGGGACCTACGAGCCTCGTACCACCGACCCCAAGAACGAGCATTGGTAGCTCTATCAACCATGCTATGAACAGCCACAATAAGGAAGATTCCAGAAACATCTAACTACTACCCACCTGGAACTTTAAGCCTTCCCTAAGCTGCCACTCAAAGAATGGAGGAATTAGGTGATCCTCGCCCCAGTCATATAAATTGTCAACCAAGACAAACATGGTTAATAACATATCATTCACTTGGACTCTAGAAGCCCCCAGAAAACACCATTTAGCTGAAAACAGAACACTAGAGCCACAGCAAAAGAGAGGGTGACCACACTACATGACTACTATCAGAATAGAACAGATGGTGGAGAAGATGGCTGACTGTAGGCTGCCCCCCTTCTTCCCTCCCTGAAACGAGGGAAAAGGTGGGGCAAACAAACTTGCTCTAGTTTTGTGAAGTTTTGTTTGTTAACATTGTTGGGGGGAGTGTTCCTTTGTCGGTTTTCGAGGCTGCAGTCTCGTTTGGAGCCAGCAGTAGTTTGTTTTGTTTTGCTGACTTTCTGGGTACCTTCCATAGTGGTGGCAGACAAATAAATTTCTAAAATTTTTGTCATTAGTGCCATCGCTCCCTGCGCCTGTGTGAGGGGGCCAGGTTGTGGATCGTGGTCCCAGGTAGGCCAACAGAACTCCGTGATTGATGGAACCTAGTAGTATGACACACTATCAGAGAGAGTAGCTTTAGAACCACAAGGCCCCCCCCCCCCCTTCCCCCCAAAAAACTTTGAGTACATATGAAAAGTATATTTCTGAAATAGTAGATAACATACCATAAGCCGATGAAATAGTCTGGTGACATTCTTGTTCTTTGGCAGCAACGCGTCTCTCAGCCTCCAGAGCCATGGTCATGAACTGCTGACGGTGTTGCTCTTCTGCAGAGGCTAACTTGGCCTCTAACTCTTGCACCTTCTCTCGCTGTTCTTCAACTTCTCCACTTATTACTTCAGCTAATCTGTGCAAAAATATATCCAATGAAGATCATCCGACCAACAGTGATCAGCAAATTAAGAGGAAAATTGAACAAATATCCGGGTTAAGAAAGCAAAGAATAATCAATAGAATCACACAAGACAATACAAATTCTAAAGGAAGCCCCATTGGGTACACGTACTGGTATAGCATTTATCATGCTAAAATTCAATAGATAGTAAAACAAAAAATATCATGTGCACATGTGACCATGAATACAATGTGCACAGCTGCATGTGTCAGCAGCAATTATCTTAATATTGAAACATTCTTGGTTCCAGTTTGACTATCAGTGCCAATTTTAGTATCAATGATGAAGCATACACATAATGTCCTCGTGTCTTACATGCACCAACTACTTGAGAGCCATGGCGTATGTCTAAGTAGGGTAATGTCTTGCTCAGAAGTGGAAGACAAATATAAAGTAATATATGCCTAAGGGTAGCACATTTTACCAGAAATGTCCAATGAAAAATTGAAGGTTTGGCTGATTTACTTATGACAAAATATGGAAAGATATAAAAGATGAAATATGCAGGGTACAAAATGACTAGCATACACTCATCAATATGGTCAAAGCATGGAAATGTTAAACACAGGCATCCAAGCCCAATTGAAGACTTGCCAGCTTATCTGGGAAACAATAATGAGACTCCTCACATTATGACTGATGAACAAAGTATGCACAAGGTAATCAAGAAGTCAAGATGGGACAATGGGATCATCTGTGTTCTGCTTAGAAACAAATTTTTCTTATTAATTCAGAGACTGATTTCTGAACTATTCCACTATCATGATCATTAAGATAATAACAATAGAAATCTTCCTTATGTTATCACACATATTTCCAGATACTGCACAAATATTGGAAACAAATAAAAATAATAATCCTGTCCAAAGAATATTTATCCCTAAAAGAAGCATCTAATGAGTAAAGAAAAACCTAGCATTGAATGAAATGAAACGCCATTTTCTGGGTAAGTCCCAGGGGCTCCCCGGAGCTATACCAGGCTGATATGTATGTATTAGACCGTGGCATCAGTCAATTCCATTGGAGTTCTAGCCCACTGGGGACCACGAGCCATAACCTGCCCCCCTCCCACTCTCAGAGAGGCACAAGGAGCAATGGCATATAGAAACCCCCATGTGGTTCAAAGCATTCTATGTCTGCCATCTACCGGGTTAGGCACCCAGAAAAGTAGGCATCTCAAACATTCTGGTAGGCGATACCAAAGTGGTATCAACCCCGAATATAAGCTGGAGCGGCTCTGCCAATGCCACCCAATAAGAGGAGACAGTATTCGGCATAACATGCCAATTAAGGAAATACTGTACCAAGAAAGAAAAGGCAGGACAAGAAATCAAAGATCAACAAAGAAGGAACAGAAAATTGCAGAAGGCACATCAAGAAACCTCATACTGTCACCAGGAAGAAGACCAGAGTTGGGACACCATTAAACCAGCCACCTGATCACCATATCACCAAAGGACTAGCGCAAATCCCAAGAGCCAGCCATGCAATCTGAAGGAATATGGCGCAGACCAGATGAAGAAGATGAGGCCTCAGGACGTGCCTCTCACAGTGCATTTGGCATCAATGATGATGACCCACCCTAACTGCAGACAACACCCTGTCTCCAGGGAGCAGCAAAGGAGTTCCATCAGACACACCCACGCATGCCTAAAGGCGAAAGGCAGAACCCCCAAGCAAAAAGCCAGTGTAAAGTAACAAAACAAAACCATTAAATTTAAATGCCCGAAAATCAAACTGCGGCGAATGAGCAGCCTGGGAGATACTTCGGCATGCTGTGTGAGAGCAGGACTCGCAGATCGCAGTGTGCTCCATGAGCCAAAAGCATTTCCATAACCCCCGCCTTAAGGGCGAGGACTACCCCAAGTGAGGCAGTCCCCTATTGGGAGTGTTTCCCGAACATCGCAGGGAAGATAACTCTGACCATACAAGGACACTTCTTACAGAGTGCACAGGGAAGAAAACCCTGAGCATGCAGCTCCAGTAGACTACACTCCTTGCTCATGCACACTCACGTGTAAGGAAACAGCCTGAACACCACCCAAAAATTGGAGCCAGAGTGACTGTGACGACTAGGCACAGATATCACTCAAAAACTGGCCAGTGAGGGGGGGCCTGGCTGACCTGGGCCCGCTACCTCCTCTCCCCCAATGAGGAAAGAGGTGGAGCTAATTAATGGGGAGTTAGTTTCACAAAGTTTTGGTTATGTGTTGCTATTAGAGGGATTTCTTTTGACATTTTGGGGGCTATGGTCTTGTTTTAAACCAGGTAGTGGTCTGTTTTGATTTACCTATCTTTCTGAGTGTTTTTCCTAGGAGATGGAAAAGATGATAACCTTTAAATGTAAAGTAATCACAGGCCATCACTCCCTCTCTCTCTCTCTCTGAGGGAACCAGGTTCTGGTTTGTGGTCCCCGGTAGTCATAAAGAACTCCACAACTGATGATAATAAGTAGTATGGCACTTAATCAGTGTGATAGCTTTAGAGAGCCGACACGGCTCCTCCCCAGAAACTCTGTATAATTATGCCATACACTTCAATATTTTAGCTAAAGCAATGATGTACAAAACATTACCTTGACATAATTTTCAAAGCTAAGACAACTAACCTTAATCGTTCTTGAACATCTTTAAGGCTCTGTCGAATTCTGCAGATATCTTCCTCTTTAACCTTCAGCAGAGCTTTTAATCTCATCAATTCTTTTCCTTCTGTGTTTCGTTGTTCATTAATGTTCGGTTGTGCTTTCTCGTCCGATTGTTCTTCCACTGCATTTGTTTTATTGTCATTAGGGGAGTCAAGTGTGTCTGGTTGAGTGGCCAACTTGTCTTTGAGCATATTATTATGAGACTCAAGCTGGGCAATATGAGCCTCAAGCTCAAACACTTTTGTTCTTTCCATTAACAGTTCTTCATTTTCACTCTCCAATTTGCTTATTTTCGCCTTGTCGGCATTGTGAGTCTCGTCAAGCTGCCGGTGCATTTGCTTCACCTGATTTAGCTGAAGCTGTGTTTCTATTCGTAGTTTGCTCTCACCTTCCAGGTCAAAAGCAAGCTTGGTACTGGTTTCCTTGAGTCCCTCGACATGTTTCTGAAGGTTCAGTATGTTGTTCTGAAGTGTATGGATTGTCTCCTTGTGTGTCTGGACCAGATTTTCTTCAGCATCTAATTTTTCCTCCAAGTTAGAAATGGTCCCTCTGAGTGCAGCAACTTGTTGTTCAGAGTTTTCTTTGATTTTATTGAGATCATCAAGTTTCTTCTCCAGATCAAGTTTGAGAGTCATGAGCTGGGCAGCCTCAGATCTAGCAGCATCTCGCTCCAGTTGAATACTACCAATTTTACTGTGCATTGCGGCATTGTTTTCTTCTATTTGGCTTATCTGCTTCTCATATCCTAATCTGGTTATAAAAAAGATAATAACCATTAGAATGATTACACAAATTAACATTCATATTAACACACTACTATTATTATCACACAAATGTTTTCTAAATAAAAGATAGAGACAAGGCAAATTTAAAGTTGTGTTAAACAATTTAATATGCTATTTAACTATGAACACCCAAATACCACCAAACAACACTCCTCACCTTATTTCTGTCAGGCCCTCCAGCTGCTCTTGGAGAACCGTCTCCTCACACTTGTGCTTCTCCTGTAATTCATCTTTTTCTCTAGCTAACCTCTGCTCCAGTTCCTCCTTCTCTTTTATTAACTGCTTGTAGATGCCTGCAGATCCTTCTCTCAGCTGCTGCATAAGTTCTGCTTTCTCTTTCCATAACGCTTCTATCTTCTCCTGGAGATCCTTATTGGACAGTTCCATGTTTAAGACCTGTACAAAATAACCAATCAAAAGTCACAAGAGTAAAAACATAATAAGCTTCCTTTCGAATGTTATAATGATCTATAATACTACCAATCAACTACAGTACTGAGATTAGAAGACGAGGTATAATGTGCGGAACAGAAAATGTGGTTAGTATGTCACGGAAACTTAAAATATTAAGAGGAAACTAATGAATGACCATTCAGTACTAGTTCTTATTGAGATTAATGCATTTATAAAAGCATTGGTAGGAACACTAGATTTTAAATAAAAATAAATGCATGAGGATTATCCAAAATACCTACAGTGAAGGAAATGTGAGAAATTATCTTTTTTTTTGGTCAGGAAGACAGTGATGAATAGGTGTCTGAGACAGTGTTGTGGTGATGGCACTGCTATCTGATAGTGGCGTGTGCATTAGCCATTCAGTGGTGGCCAGCGGCCAGATTCACGAAGAGTTACGCAAGTACTTACGAACGTCTACATCTTTCCTCAATCTTTGACGGCTTTTGTGACATTTATTAAACAGTTTACACGCATGAAAACTTCCCAATCAACTGTTGTTATTGTTATAAACAGCCTCCTGGTGCTTTGGATCTCATTAACTCTTTAATAATTGTAAACAATGCTGACAAAGATTGAGAAAAGATGTACAGGTTCGTAAGTGCTTGCGTAACTGCTTCGTGAATCTGGCCCCAGAGGAATTGCCATCTGGTAGTGGCCATGGATACTAAGTTGCTTAGCAGCTAGTGGCTGTTAGGTGTAAACCTCCCTTGGCAATCACATGTGATCAATAGGTGGAACTTTTACATGGCTTTAAGCTTTTATACAATATACTAATGACTTCTAGAGAATTATTAGTACCTTTAATGACTGCAGAGACTATTTGAAAAGTTACCTGCAGTAGTAATACACAGCATTTCTCCTGTAAAACTGTCTTAATTCTTGTCCAGAAGATACAACATATCTTACCTTAGAGGCCAACCAAATGCAGCTCAAAACCTAACATGTTCATGAAGCCATACTCCAATGTTGGTACATATGCATTATTGCAGGTGACTCATGTAGCCACTGATCTCTGGCAGTGGTACAAACAAGAACCATGTTTAAATGCAGCTCAAACAACTCTGTTTATTTCTGGGGGCTCGATATTGCCACTATTGCTGCAGGAATGGTGTACCTTCCTTTGTGTACCTCTGGTGGACACCAACGACTACATGAAAAATCCACAACGTACCAGCGGTGGTGCACACAGTTGCAAATGCATTAAAGATGCAACAAAGTACAGTATAATAAAGTGACAACTGTAGTGAATGAAATGTAAATATACAGTACAACATTCAAAATGTCTCTATGAATATATTTTTAATATACTGCTATACTAGAAGCAAAATAACAAATAAAATCAAGGTTTCAATATTAAAAGCTTTCAAATTAGCAAGACATTTGAATTCTTTCAAAGGAAGGCTACATTTGGAAAGAATCCTCAAAGTCACTGCAGCTTGACATTCTGCACCAACACAACAGGGATCTTTTAAAACATTCATGTTTAATCAAATGGGTACCAGGAAGGCACAATAAATGCTCCATCTAGCCTGAGTGGACACAGAAAATTCACTCATGAACATTTAAATTTTTTTCAAGACCTTCATGGCATCACAAGAACTGTCAAGTTCTTGTACCTAAACTGTCAAGTTCTTGTACCTAAAACACAATAAAATAAAGATTTCTAAGGATGAAAACAAGGATGTCTAATCCTCATGGGGACAAGTCAGGAGGACTGTAATGGGGATCGAGTCAGGGAACCAGTGGTTGGTATAGGTGCTGCCATCTGATGGGGGTCAGGGGATAATGGCCAGGTAAGCAATTGGCATCTTGCGAGTGTTCCTTAGCTTTCCTTGTTATACCAAGCAAGATTTGGAAAAGGTTTGAGTGTTAATGAACGAACTTGAACTCTCTCTGGACTGGACTGCATGCCTTCTTAGCGCTAGTATGAACTGACAGGGACGCTTAACAGGATCCTTGTGTGAGTTGGTGCAGAATGTCACCTTACCCTGGCCACTAAGGTACAAAGGTATAACAGCAGCTGCTACCCATAAACGTGAGTTAACAGACTGCACAACAAATGCTGTAAAAAAATGGAAATAGGAGAGAATGAAGTTTCATTAACAATTCAAAGAACAGTAATGTACAAAGACTTATTCTCAGGAATGTTTGTGGTACATGACACAGCTGGAATTATTCTCCTGGACATACCATAACAATTTAAAGATCAGCTAAAAGATTTCAAGAATACATTTCATCTCAATTGACGATTACAGCATATCTAATTTTTCATTTATTGGTTATATACTGTTATTAATATTTCTTACAAGGTTAACTATACTCACTTATCCTATTCAAAATGATTTACAAATTAAGCACAGAAAATATATCAATACAAGTGTGGTGGGTATGGTGGTGCAGCGGCCATAACATTGGCTTGACAGTCAACGAGAACCCCACATTTAAAACCTGAATGAGGTGACAGCAATATGGCAACATACAACTCAGTAATGCCATAACGCACACCTTTTCTACCGTACCAAGAGCTAGATGCGACTCTGCCCGGTGGCTGACAGCATGAGTTACCTCCTTACGCTTCTCTATGTCCCTAGTAAGTTTAGCTTTCTCTCTGTGCCTAGTAAGATTAAATTTTATCATCCCTGTGGCTAGTAAGTTTAGTTTTCATCCTCTATGTCGCTAGTAAGTTAAGTTTTCATCCTCTATGGCGCTAGTAAGTTTAGTTTTCATCCTCTATGTCGCTAGTAAGTTAAGTTTTCATCCTCTATGTCGCTAGTAAGTTAAGTTTTCATCCTCTATGTCGCTAGTAAGTTTAGTTTTTATCCTCTATGTCGCTAGTAAGTTAAGTTTTCATCCTCTATGTCGCTAGTAAGTTTAGTTTTTATCGTCTATGTGGGTAGTAAGCTGTGTCACTGATCAAGAAGATAATATGCTATGCAAACAGTAACAAATTTACCAAGGCCCTGAAATTTAGAAAAAGGTAGAAAACAAAGATATATTTAATACTGGTTATTAAATGTATTAGTGAGAAGACAAAAGACAGAACATCTCCTCTATATTGCACTCAACTCAAGGACATCAACGTCTCCTGGGCTACAAAATATAATTTTGCTCTGCAAATACCATACATAAACATTTACTATTAATTAAAGGGTTAAATATTTATAGGTTAATAAGGTGCGTCTAAAGCTGCTTATGCATTATGTTTAAATAGGCAGTAAATTAAGAAAACTGTATGAGCTGATGGAGATGAAGAGAGTAAATACTAAAGAATGGAGGTGTCAAGTGTAAATGGAGTGGATAAGTAAATGACATCAAGTGTGAGGTTCTAAGATAAAATACGTAAATAACTAGGATAAAATTACTGTATATAAAGAATATATACAATATCTTTTCATATGATTGGTGCAAATCCTATTTCCAGCCCAAGTACAGTACTGAATACCCACAGTTTTACGCAGCTTATAATGGGAATAACTGAGGGAAAGTAGGAGAATCGATTGATTAGCCACTTCTCTAACACCATAAAAAAGGTTTTTATGCCGTATAAATATAAATTCATCTAACCTAAGAGATAGGCACACACAGCCGTCAGTCAAACTTCAAAAGGAAGAGTAAAACCAGCAGGGACAGGGTCCTGTGGTCCAACACAACGACAAAGCTCATCCTATACGATGGAGTTCACACTAAGTCTGTCTCCTGTTCCTTGGCAAGCAGGACTGAACAAGCCACACTCAACTGCTCACTGAAGAACAAAATCCCCATCACCAAGTAAACAGTTTTCCAACAGGGGATCAGAAAGGAGGAGATAGAAACAAAATAAATAAATATTTTATCTCTATTTAGTCTCTATTTAGTTTTTAACCTTGTCAGAATGGACAATCCAACTTCACTTATTTAATGTCGTACGTGGAAGCAAAACCAACACACTCATCTTACTTACGAGTGGATATTCATTTGGAACTCTTATCCAGAATGATGACAAAGTTGATAATCTCTGAAATGTATTGTCATATGTGAGATGGAGTCGTTCATTTTCGTATTCAGGCATTAGGTTCAACCCTACAATTGATTCAGGCATCTCAAAAGCAAATGAGATTTTATCCTGTTTTTTTTTTTTCAAAGCTTCAAACTCCTCCTCAGGAAAATAATGGTCTAAACTGGCAGACACAGCAGAGAGATGCATCTGTAAAGCTTCTCCTATTTTGCTCAAATTTTCTTCTGTAATGCTATTTTCTTCAATATGTTACTAGAGCGTTGGGAATGTAGTCAATAGGACATTCAACCCGAAGTTGGGCTTGTAACAATTGTAATGATTTTTGTCATGTTTTGACTTCTTCAGTATCGAAACAAATAATTTTCTTTTCCTTGAAGATTCAAATTAACTTCATTTAAACTTGAACAAATTATTGATAACTATGACCATTATCCAATTGTCATTTTAAAACAAAGATGCAAAATCAGACTTTATTTTCAAGAATAAAAAAAAATGAATTTACATCCTTAACTAATAAAGTCTTGCTAGGACTCTACCCTGTGAAAGCCACCAAACTTCAGTGCTATGCAGTAAGTGGGAAGGATCAGCCCTTTTAATAGCACAGCCTCTCAAGAAGCTGCATCTTCAGTGAGCTTCCTTTAAAGCCTTTAATAATATTAATATCTTTGATCACATCTTTCAGAACCAGACAAACTATCAAGAACATCCTTAGAAGCCAAAGCTTAACAGTGAATCAACCAGTGATTCCAAACACCTGCTGCATCAAATATTTGTCTCACAATCCCACTATTTCTTACAATTATTTCTGCAGGTGCCCTCAGTTGTAAGTCTTTTGCAATTAGCCAAATCCATCAAGCTTTTTTTTTCCCCCCTGCACAATCATTCATGACTTTTAATGCGTCTGGTCAGGTTGTGTTTGTTTATAAGGTCAAACAACACAGCAAGTCTTGCAAATATGCCTCTTTCAATACATAGTTCACATAAGCCAAGTGTTGCACAAGAGGTAATATCATTACTCTCATCAAGTTGGATGGTAAGTTTCTCTGGCAGACTGTTGATGTGAAACCAACTGGGATTTTAAATCCTGCACAGTAAGTAAATATCCTCCGACACATTGTGGTTATCTTGAGGTTATCTTGAGATGATTTCGGGGCTTTTAGTGTCCCCGCGGCCCGGTCCTCGACCAGGCCTCCACCCCCAGGAAGCAGCCCGTGACAGCTGACTAACACCCAGGTACCTGTTTTACTGCTAGGTAACAGGGGCATAGGGTGAAAGAAACTCTGCCCATTGTTTCTTGCCGGCGCCTGGGATGGAACCCAGGACCACAGGATCACAAGTCCCGCGTGCTGTCCGCTCGGCCGACCGGCTCCCGACCGGCTATCGTAGAGAGGAATACTTTCATACGTTTCTCCAAACTTATTATGATAAAGTGTACTCACCATATCCAAAGAGGCTAGAAGAAGAACTTGCGCTCATAACTTTAATTCATGCATTCGTATTTAGAAATATTCCGGTGATTTGTCGAGGAATTTTTCATGATTTGTTCCCAAGTGCCTTTTAAGTTCTGAAGGTTTCAAACTTTCATTTGCAAGAATTTTGTTACAAACCTTTCACTGTGACTTTTGATACTTTTTCTATAAATACTCAATAAATAAAATCCATCAGTGGCACCAAGTACAAGTAATAGAAGTATTAACAATTATAATTGTAATTAATAATTAAAAAGTATGCCAGTAAGGTAATTAATATATATACAAGTATTATTATTATTTAAGTTTAACTTACAGAAAACCAATATTTTCCTTAGTATAATTACTACTAAATACTGTACAGTACAGTACTTGTATTTATGACCTAATTATCAAATCCAGAAATCTCACCTTATTTTTATTATGTTCATTATTGAACTCTAACATAGCTATAGTTTTGGTAGTTCGTTCCTTTTCCTTTTCAAATTGTTCTATTGTCAAAGTTAACTGGTTGTTGTTGATAGCGAGCGTTTCTACTTGCGCCTCGAGGGCCTCACAGGTGGCCGTGGCCTGCTGGAGCCTCTCCTCCAGCCCAGCATGCCCGGCCGCCGACGCCGCAAGTTGCTCACTAGTTTCTTCCATAGTCGTTTCAATAATCCGAAGCCTTTCGCTCTGAAAATCCCAATATCAGTATCTTAATACATGTTGTGTAAATATATTCTGGAAAAACTTGAAATGTTCCATTATTTTCAGAAGTATTCATGTCCAAAAAGTTCTACAACAATATTTGTATGTAATTAGGACTTGCTTGGCCAAGTTCACTAATACTGAGGAGTAATTAGTAGCATGCTTATAAATGGTAAAACATCACACAACACAAAAACCTTAATAATTCAAGACGGTCAGGCAACTTAATTATTTTGGAAGACTTGGGTAAATAAATAACTTAAATAATTTAAGCACGTGCAAACTCACGTAGCTTAGAAAACCTAAGACACAGTAGCTCAGATAACGCGCATACTTTCGATAACTAGTTTAACTCGAGTAAATCAGCCAACTTGGATAACTTTGCCAACTCGGGTAACTTGAGCAGCACGAGTAATTGTGATAATTTGGGTAACAAATATAAAGACAATTAGCTCAGAGGAATCAAGGCATCATCATTGGTCAACCATTGTCTTAAAACCTTTGCCATTATAGAGTAAGTAACATATTTCTGAGCTAATACATTGAGTTGCCTTCCAAGATTAGATCCACTGTGTCCTTCGTTCAAAGATAATGAGTCAGACAGGTGGTGACATTATAGATACTGGCACCAGAGGAAACTTTTTGCAAGGGAGCCGCAGTAGATAAGCTCAAGCCAGCCTGGGATGGTCGACAGAGAGGCATCCCATGAAAACTCATAAGATATTTAAACGTTAGTTAAGTAATTATCCAAATAAAGTGCTAACCCAATATGGCTGTAATTACCTAAGTGTAATTACCTAATTGTAGTTACAGGATGAGAGCTACGTTCGTGGTGTCCCGTCTTCCCAGCACTGTCATAATGCTTTGAAATTACTGATGGCTTTGGCCTCCACCACCACCTCACCTAACTTGTTCCAACCGTGTACCACTCTGTTTGCAAAAGTGAATTTTCTTATATTTCTTCGGCATCTGTGTTTAGCTAGTTTAAATCTATGACCTCTTGTTCTTGAAGTTCCAGGTCTCGGGAAATCTTCCCTATCAATTTTATCAATTCCTGTTACTATTTAGTACGTAGTGATCATATTGCCTCTTTTTCTTATATCTTCTAGTTTTGGCATATTTAATACCTCTAACCTCTCCTTGTAGCTCTTGTCCTTCAGTTCTGGGAGCCACTTAGTGGCATGTCTCTGCACCTTTCCAATTTGTTGATGTGTTTTTTAAGATATGGGCACCATATAACCGCTGAATATTACAGCTTTGGTCTAACAAAAGTCGTAAACAATTTCTTTAGTATTTTGCCATCCATGTATTTAAAAGCAATTCTGAAGTTAAAAAGTGTAGCATAAGCTCCTCGCACAATGTTCTTTATGTGATCTTCAGGTGATAGTTTTCTATCTAGAACCATCCCTAGATCTCTCTCTTTATCAGAATTCTTTAAAGATTTCTCACATAATTTACAGGTTGTGTGAGGTCTATGTTCTCCTATTCCACATTCCATAACATGGAATTTAATGTAAATTTGCCATTTGCCAAGTGGCTGTAGAGCACTGTCTGTGATAACGAATATTTAAGAGCTCCTTGACCCTCTGCACTGCTCACCCTAATTTCCATGACAACCACTCTGTGTAAAAGAAAGTAAATCTGAATTTTTTTCTACTTTTACGATTGCTAAATTATGTTCCCTGACCATGGCAATATTAAAAGAATTTATGTGACTTGCTTTGGCCATGGTGGTGTGAGGAAATCTCACAATTATCGCATGATTTGGGAACATTCATTGAGCAGGGTCAAGGCCAGGCCAAGCTCTGGGTGGAAGTTACCATGAAAGTAATTTTTATATATTTATTTATGTAGGAGTTCATTAACAAACTCAAACTCATAAAGGGAAGGTGGATAAGAAAATCCCACTCTCTCCAACAAAAGTCCCTCCAGAGAAGGCACATGGGCTCACATAGAGTCATAAGGAAACCCAAGAGCTAGACTCTCCCCTGAGCCCCGGGAACTGCAGGCAAGGGCCCCGAGGCAGAGTACTCTTCCACACGTACCACCCAGGAAGGGAAGACGAAAAGGGAAAGTTTCAGAAGAGGGAGTCAGCTGGGAAGATTCAGAAGCTTCAGGGGGAAAAAAGAGTGGCTCATCTGCCTTCGCACTTGAATTGGAAGGGGCGACTCCTGGATCTGCCCAAGCCACATCCCAAGCTAAACCCTGCCTCGATTCCGTAACCCTCAGATGATTCGGAGCCGGATGCAGGGGGATGGGAAGGGTGAACCAAACCAACCAGGAAGGTAAGAGGATGTGCGGACAGAACCAAAGTCGAGTTGACCAACACCTCCAATTCCAAGTTCTTAAAACACAAATGGGGCAGATCCCAGGCAGCCAACCGGAGACACAACCTAGGGTGCACCATGACTGAAAACTGCTAATGCAAAGCATGTGCTGCTTGAAACTTCAGGGCTTCCACAGAAGAATATGTGATCATGGGCACATGGGGAGAACAAGTCCCACATGACTTAGGGTCGTAGGTGTCACCGACTCAATGGGCGGCATGGTGGAGGCAGAAAGAATGAACGTCCCCAAGTGGCACCGGTGACGAACAACCCTCAAATTCACACAAGGCAAGAGCGGGCTCGAAAGAGGTATCCATGATACCTCCAAGCCCATGGAAAATTTCCGGGGCCTGCAGAGTGAATGAGTCCTGCGGGAAGCCCCGGCACTGAGGCTACAATGCCGGTAAACCCTGTCAATGCAAGCAACCAGACCATCCGAAGCCTAAGAAAAAGTCCAGTGAGCAGCAAGGGGGTTCTACCGCACACACTCTAGGCTAGGCCTAATATAGTGAAAGGAAAGATCCTAAGCAAAACTACAAAATAACACAAAAGAAAAACAGAAAAGAAAACCCCCAAGACTCGACCGCAGCAAATGAGCAGTCTGGGAGAAACATTGGCATGCCCTGAAACAACTTATAGAAAGTGCAGGCTGAGCACCTACAGTGAGCCTTTCCCAGCCAACTACACTCCTAAACCCCAGGCAAGACAGAAAGCCCAAGACCCCTGGCTTACTGTAAGGTTGAGGATCATCCCAAGGGAGGAGGTCCACTAAAGGGAGCATTCCCCGAATGCTCCAGGGAAGAGAACCTTGATCACACAAGGGCAGTACTCACAGAGTGCACAAGGAAGTAAACCCTGAGCACATGCAGCTCCAGCACACTTCCGTGTAAAACACTGCCGTATAGGCAAGAGAACATGAAAGAAAATGTGAGACAGGAGCCAGAGCCACATGACCGTCAGGTAATCACATCAGTAAAGCGCTGAAGCTTGTCTGCCCATCTCCCCCCCCCCCCTTCCTGCAACGAGGGAGTAGGTGGAGTTAACTAGCAGGGGTGGAGGAGGGGAGGGACATTTTCACTAAGTTTTGGTTCTTTCTTTTATTACTGGGGGAAGTTCTTTGGGGATTTTGGGGGCTTTGGTCATGCTTTTAAACCAGGCAATGGTTTGTTTTGATTCCCCTATCTTTCTAGGTGCCTCCCATAGTGATGGCAAAGATGATATCCTTTAAATGTAAAGTGATCATAGGTCATCGCTCCCTGTGCCTCTCTGAGGGGACCAGATCCCTGGTAGGCAAAGAGAACTCTGCGACTGATGACACTAGGTAGTATGGCACTTAATCAGTGATGATAGCCTCAGGGAGCCGACGAGGCTCCCCACAAAAAAGTACTATCTAAACTGGAGGATGGGTTGCATAATCCATCCTATCATTTCCTGGCTGATGTTATATTTATCTTGTTATGCTCACTAACTGTTAGGTCAGCTGACATCCATATTCACAAATCCTTTACATGTTTTTCTTCTTTGAGGAGATCGGATTGTGTCTTGTACCCCATATATCATATACTCCAAGTTCTTAATTTTATTTTCTGTTGCCCAATCAAAGACTATTGATATCAACTTACAAGTTTACAATATCTTCTACAGAGGTAATTTTCGTGCTGACTTTTGTATCGCCTGCAAAGGATGACACGAAGGTGTGGCTAGTGAGGGCTACACGATGGCACCGCATATCATGTGTAATTATGACTAACAAATCCCCAGCAGCAAGAAGGATAATGTAATCAAACATCGACTTCAATGCCTATTAAAGTTTCCATGCTCATAAACCTTAGTATATATGAAGTATTGTTTTTTTCAACCTGAACATGAGTAATCTTTGTTTACCTAGGAATCAAGTGCATTAACTTTTTAATAATAATTAATTATATTAATTACAGTACAGTATTATTAAAAAGTTAATGCACTTGATTTAAGTAATACCTAGGTAAACAAAGATTACTCACTAAGTTATATTACATAATCATAAATTACATAATAAGTTATGATCTTGCAATGGATGAAAATTATAATCAATATAGCCCTTGACTATACACACTCTTCCAAATGCAATGGCACCATACAATATAATATGGAGTGCACTATCAAATGGTGGTGGTGAGAAGGTATGCTCTTCCATCTCACTGACTGAGGTGCCACTGACCAAGCTTTGCTTGCCAATGGCACAAACATCAAATATTTGTGTCCACTCATATTCCTCAATAATTTTACGAAAATACTGATCCTCCTGCTGCTGCTGCCATGTACAGTATGCTCAAAATGCAGTAAATATGTCAACAAAGGTTTCTTCTAGCAGGAAATACATTGAATACAAATGAACAGGGCAACTCTGTTATATATACTGTATTGAAGGCTACTTTGAACCCATAATGCTGAAAGTGAAAGTAATAAGGCAATGCAATAGCAAGATAGTCTATGAGGCAAAGATAATATGGATGATGATGATGTGTGGAGCTGCACATGCAGAAGTTGGATGACCAGAATAAAAACAACTATAAGGATGGTAGCTCACGGAGAAGATATAGCATTTCCATAGTAAAATAAACATTAATTAGCAGTGTTGGCATAGTGAGGGTGGCTAAGGTACTTGAAGAGTTACCA